ACTCAAACTATTACAGTCAACAAAAGCACACGTCATATTATTGATTAGATATTTTTGCTTGTTTTTATGAGTAGATAAGCTTGAGTAAGTTGTTTAGATGTGGTCAAATACATTGAGTAAAGATGATAGAAGTAAAAAGGATTATATTACGTTGATTCAACTCAAATAGATCCATGACATTGTGTTCTTTTACCTGAATGATTCATCCTATTATGTACTCAATGTTACATGATATATTCATTTAGACCAACTCAGAAAAGGTCCACATTTTTACTTTGGATTCACTCAATCAGATCCCTTAAGAGAAAAGGTATCCGGACACCGGGAATCCATTTATTTAAACATCAACGGTTTGCAAAACATGTGTTATTATGAGTTGACAAATTACGGAATTACAAACAACACTGCAGGTAAGTCCTGATTGCTGTAGGTAGGCAAAACCGTAGAAATAGGACCTAGAACATTAACTAGTATAGGATCTCTGTGGGCAGAACATTTACTTACGAGAGATACAATGGAGCTTCAACCCCATAGACGTCATGGGGAACAAAATATTCTCATAGTAACCATGGATAACTACTGAAATGGAGGCTCAAATAACTTGTGTTTGCACTGTGGGATATTTTTCAAACTACAATGTTGCCTACAAGGTCAAAATAATTAAAGACGTGACAACCCCAATAATCGAAACACTTTTACTTGTTTGTTTCTATAACATTTTTCAAACTACAATGCCAAAACAATGAACAACCCCAATAATCTAAACATTTTTACTCGTTTGTTCCTATAACATTTCTCTGTTCACGAGCACTGCTGATGGATGCCACCTATATTACTTTGGTCATTTTTCCTTTAACCCATTAATGTTGTAGTTGCACCTTTTTTCAACAGTTCCCAATAGAAATCTGTTTACAATAGGTTAAAAAGGTTTTGCAGTAGACCATCAGTGTATGTAAACAAAGATAGTACTTTTTGGAGAAATGAACTGTTTGGCCATAATGACCATCGTTATGTTTGGAGGAAAAAGGGGGTTGCTTGCAAGCCGAAGAACACCATCCCAACCGTGGAGTACGGGGGTGGCAGCATCATGATGTGGGGGTGCTTTGCTGCAGGAGGGGCTGGTGCACTTCACAAAATAGATGGCATCATGAGGAAGGAAAATTATGTGGATATATTGAAGCAACATCTCAAGACATTAGTCAGGAAGTTAAAGCTTGGTCGCAAATGGGTCTTCCAATCGGACAATGACCCCAAGCATACTTCCAAAGTTGTGGCAAAATGGCTTAAGGACAAGGTATTGGAGTCGCCATCACAAAGCCCTGACCTCAAACCTATAGAACATTTGTGGGCAGAACTGAAAAAGCATGTGCGAGAAAGGAGGCCTACAAACCTGACTCAGTTACACCAGCTCTGTCAGGAGGAATGGGCCAAAATTCACCCAACTTATTGTGGGAAGCTTGTGGAAGACTACCCGAAATGTTTGACCTAAATTAAACAATATATAGGCAATGCTACCAAATACTAAATGAGTGTATGTAAACTTCTGACCCACTGGGAATGTGATGAAAGAAATAAAAGCTGAAATAAATCATTCTCTCTACTATTATTCTGACATTTCACATTCTTAAAATAAAGTGGTGATGCTAACTGACCTAAAACAGGGATTTTTTACTAGGATTAAATGTCAGGAATTGTGAAAAACTGAGTTTAAATGTATTTGGCTAAGGTGTATGTAAACATCCGACTTCAACTGTATATACACACACACACTGTCCTGACTCCAACATTGCTCCTCCTAATATTTATATACAGTGGGGAAAAAAAGTATTTAGTCAGCCACCAATTGTGCAAGTTCTCCCACTTAAAAAGATGAGAGAGGCCTGTAATTTTCATCATAGGTACACGTCAACTATGACAGACAAATTGAGAAAAGAAAATCCAGAAAATCACATTGCTTTAATGAATTTATTTGCAAATTATGGTGGAAAATAAGTATTTGGTCACCTACAAACAAGCAAGATTTCTGGCTCTCACAGACCTGTAACTTCTTCTTTAAGAGGTTCCTCTGTCCTCCACTCGTTACCTGTATTAATGGCACCTGTTTGAACTTGTTATCAGTATAAAAGACACCTGTCCACAACCTCAAACAGTCACACTCCAAACTCCACTATGGCCAAGACCAAAGAGCTGTCAAAGGACACCAGAAACAAAATTGTAGACCTGCACCAGGCTGGGAAGACTGAATCTGCAATAGGTAAGCAGCTTGGTTTGAAGAAATCAACTGTGGGAGCAATTATTAGGAAATGGAAGACATACAAGACCACCGATAATCTCCCTCGATCTGGGGCTCCACGCAAGATCTCACCCCGTGGGGTCAAAATGATCACAAGAACGGTGAGCAAAAATCCCAGAACCACACGGGGGGACCTAGTGAATGACCTGCAGAGAGCTGGGACCAAAGTAACAAAGCCTACCATCAGTAACACACTACGCCGCCAGGGACTCAAATCCTGCAGTGCTAGACGTGTCCCCCTGCTTAAGCCAGTACATGTCCAGGCCCGTCTGAAGTTTGCTAGAGTGCATCCAGAAGAGGATTGGGAGAATGTCATATGGTCAGATGAAACCAAAATATAACTTTTTGGATAAAACTCAACTCGTCGTGTTTGGAGGACAAAGAATGCTGAGTTGCATCCAAAGAACAACATACCTACTGTGAAGCATGGGAGTGAAAACATCATACTTTGGGGCTGTTTTTCTGCAAAGGGACCAGGACGACTGATCCGTGTAAAGGAAAGAATGAATGGAGCCATGTATCGTGAGATTTTGAGTGAAAACCTCCTTCCATCAGCAAGGGCATTGAAGATGAAACGTGGCTGGGTCTTTCAGCATGACAATGATCCCAAACACACCGCCCGGGCAACGAAGGAGTGGCTTCGTAAGAAGCATTTCAAGATCCTGGAGTCTCCAGATCTCAACCCCATAGAAAATCTTTGGAGGGAGTTGAAAGTCCGTGTTGCCCAGCGACAGCCCCAAAACATCACTGCTCTAGAGGAGATCTGCATGGAGGAATGGGCCAAAATACATGCAACAGTGTGTGAAAACCTTGTGAAGACTTACAGAAAACGTTTGACCTGTGTCATTGCCAACAAAGGGTATATAACAAAGTATTGAGAAACTTTTGTTATTGACCAAATACTTATTTTCCACCATAATTTGCAAATAAATTCATAAAAAATCCTACAATGTGATTTTCTGGAATTTTTTTCCTCATTTTGTCTGTCATAGTTGACGTGTACCTATGATGAAAATTACAGGCCTCTCTCATCTTTTTAAGTGGGAGAACTTGCACAATTGGTGGCTGACTAAATACTTTTTTCCCCACTGTATTTCTTAATTCTATTATTTTACTTTTTGATTTTTTTTGTGTATTGTTGTGAATTGTTGGATATTACTGCAATGTTGGAGCTGGGAACACAAGCATTTCGCTAAACCCACAATAAAATCTTCTAAATATGTGTATGTGACCAATAAAATTGGATTTGATTTGATGTTAAAATCCACATCATCACATGTGACACATGGTTTGACATGATTTCACATATGCATTGTTACATGTGAATTTATGTGATTTTCCCCATGGAAATCATGTGTTTTTTACGTAAGGGGAGCACTGTCCACGATGCAACATTTTAAAGGCAATTTTGCCCATCAAGCGAAAATCACATTTATGGTAAACACTGCAGATTTCTAAATCAGAAATTACCTTTAAATGTCAAGCGCTCTATAATACACCTCAGAAGGAATCCCAGTGTCAATCAATTTTTCATGACACACCACATGCAAACAACACACACATGGACAGTTTATGATGATTATACTAGATGATCCTAACACACAAATAGACCACATGATCCTAACACAGACAGACTAGATGATCCTGACAGACTACATCAGTGATTCCCAAGCTCGGTCCTCGGGACCCCAAGGGGTGCACGTTTTGGTTTTTGCCCTAATACTGATTCAAATGATCAAAGCTTGATGATTAGTTGATTATTTGAATCAGCTGTGTAGGGCAAAAACCAAAATGTGCACCCCTTGGGGTCCTGAGGACTGAGTTTGGGAAACCATGGACTACATGATCCTAACACACAGACACATGATCCTAACATAGACAGACTACATGAACCTAATACACAGACAGACTAAATGACCCTAATACACAAACAGAATAAATGATCCTAACACACAGACAGACTAGATGATCATAACACGCAGACAGACTAATGTTCCTAACACACAGACAGACACATGATTCTGACTTCACATCACTCTGAGTTCTGACTTCACTTCATTCTACTGTCACTAACAGGGTTCCACTAACAGGGTTCCACTGAGAGAAATGTTGCACTGTTTTCTAGCACCGTTTAGAGGATTATAGATGTAGGGTTCATGTAGTCTGCTTCTTTAAACTCCATCTCCCAGCAGCCTCTCTTATTGCTTCACTTCAGTCTCTATGGCAATGGTGTCACTTCATTGGTTCTCCCCGTATTGTGTTGCAATATGGTATCTCTCCTCCTCTCCTCTCCTCCTCTCCTCTAGATGTGGTCTGGGACAGTCAGTAGTGCCTCCTCTGGTTCTCTGTCCACGTCAACATTCTGAAGACAGACGGAGCGAAAGAGAGGGTATGATGATGTGTGTGTGTTTGTGTGTGTGTATGTGTACCTGCAAGCTAAGTTTGGTGAGGTACTGCAGTGTTTTGTTCAAGGTCGGGCTTGGTGTGGGGACGGCACTGCATTGGCTGTCTTGACAACCATAGGGGCTTAAGTATGATCACCCAATGAGGTGTTCTGACAGTTCAAGGCTGTTCTGCCAGGAGTAGATTGCTGCTAGACGCTTTTAGTACATATGAGGCCGTACAGGGGTTTTATTCGGAAATGGGGACTTTATATGTAGTGTGTGCATGTGTGTGTGTGTGTGTGTGTGTGTGTGTGTTGGCTCACCACTGGTTTGTCTCTGTGTGTGTTGACTGCTTCAATGTTGAGGAAGATGGACTCAACCTCACAGCCTGAGAGAAAGAATAGAGACCCCAGGGCTACAGCTGATTGGTAAATCAATTTGCATTATCATTGTTAAACATTTCTACTTATATATTCATAGAGAGAGAAACAGAGAGAGAGAGAGAGAGAGAGAGAGAAACAGAGAGAGAGAGAGAGAGAGAGAGAGAGAGAGAGAGAGAGAGAGAGAGAGAGAGAGAGAGAGAGAGAGAGAGAGAGAGAGAGAGAAACCGACCGTAGGCGACTGGGGTGAGTTTCAGCACCGTGTGGAGAGGACACTTCAGATATGGCAACTCCGCTGGAGGGCGAGAGAGATGGGGAGAAGAGTGGAGGGGAGGGGAGAAAGAGGAGAGAGAAAGATGGGGAGACAGAACTCAAACATTTCCTCTGATAGATGGATCATTTCAACACTGACATTTCAAAGGTTCCAAAGCTGTGTGCTAGTAGTACAGTGCATTTGGAATGTATTCAGACCCCATCATTTTTCCCACATTTTGTTACGTTACAGCCTTATTCTAAAATTGATTAAATTGTTTTTTTCCCCTCATCAATCTACACACAATACCCCATAATGACAAAGCAAAAACAGGTTTTTAGAAATGTTTGCAAATGTATCACAAATAAAAAACTAAAATATTACATTTACATAAGTATTCAAACCCTTTACTCAGTACTTTGTTGAAGCACCTTTGGCAGCGATTACAGCCTCGAGTCTTCTTGGGTATGATGCTACAAGCTTGGCACACCTGTATTTGGGGAGGTTCTCCCATTCTTCTCTGCAGATCCTCTCAAGCTCTGTCAGGTTGGATGGGGAGCGTCGCTGTACAGCTATTTTCAGGTCTCCAGAGATGTTAGATTGAGTTTAAGTCCGGGCTCTGGCTGGGCCACTCAAGGACATTAAGAGACTTGTCAAGAAGCCACTCCTGCATGTCTTGGCTGTGTGCTTAGGGTCGTTGTCCTGTTGGAAGGTGAACCTTCGCCCCAGTCTGAGGTCCTGATAGCTCTGGAGCAGGTTTTCATCAAGGATCTCTCTGTATTTTTCTCCGTTCATCTTTCCCTTGATCCTGACTAGTCTACCAGTCCCTGCCACTGAAAAAAATCCCCACAGCATGATGCTGCCACCACCATGCTTCACCATAGGGATGGTGCCAGGTTTCCTCCAGACGTCACGCTTGGCATTCAGGCGAAAGTGTTCAATCTTGGTTTCATCAGACCAGAGAATCTTGTTTCTCATGGTCTGAGAGTCTTTAGGTGCCTTTTGGCAAACTCCAAGCGGGCCTTTTCCTGAGGAGTGGCTTCCGTCTGGCCACTCTACCATAAAGGCCTGATTGGTGGATTGCTGAGAGATGGTTGTCCTTCTCCCATTTCTACAGAGGAACTCTGGAGCTCTGTCAGAGTGACCATCAGGTTCTTGGTCACCTCCCTGACCAAGGCCCTTCTCCCCAGATTGCTCAGTTTGGCCGGGCGGGTAGCTCTAGGAAGATGGTTCCAAAGTTCTTCCATTTAAGAATGATGGAGGCCAATGTGTTCTTGGGGACCCTCAATGTTACAGACATTTTTTTGGTACCCTTCCCCAGATCTGTGCCGGTCTCTGAGCTCTACGGACAAGTCATTCGACTTCATGGCTTAATTTTTGCTCAGACATACACATGCAGAGTCGGAATTCTTATGTAAATAAAGTATTTCTGTTTTTTTGTTTTTTTTATAAATTTGCAAACATTTCTAAAAAACCTGTTTTGACTTTGTCATTATGGGGTATTGTGTGTAGATTGATGAGAGAAGTGTTTTATTTAATCCATTTTTTAATAAGGCTGTAACGTAATAAAATGTGGAAAAAAGGAAGGGGTCTAAAAACTTTCCGAATGGTATATAGTATAATAGTAGTAGTAGTAGTAGTGTAGTGTCTGTAGCCTGTAGTGTCTGAGGCTGTGGATTGTGGGTAGACAGTCTTACCTGCACTCTTATCCAGGAAGTAAGCTAGCAGACAGCGCATGACAGCCTGATGGCACACCACCAGAACATTCTCCTGTCTCTCTAGTTCCATGATCACTGGCTCCAGACGCTGCACCAGGTCCTCATACGACTGACAGACACACACATTTTACACACATTATATTTGAACATTATAATTAATTAACACAGACACACATACACAATACACACATTATACACTACATGGCCAAATGTACATCTCATTCCAAAATCATGGGCATTAATATGGAGTTGGTCCCCCCTTCGCTATCGATCTCATTGCGTCAGTAGAGGATGCCTGGTTGTTCTTTAAAAGTGCTTTCCTCTCAATCTTAAATATGCATGCCCCATTCAAAAAATTCAGAACTAAGAACAGATATAGCCCCTGGATCTCCTCAGACTCGACTGCCCTTGACCAACACAAAAACATCCTGTGCCGTACTGCATTAGCATCGAATAGCCCCCGTGATATGCAACTTTTCAGGGAAGTTAGGAACCAAGCAGTTAGGAAAGCAAAGGCTAGCTTTTTCAAACAGAAATGTGCATCCTGTAGCACCGTCCGCTATGCAATCTGGTTTCCGAGCTGGTCATGGGTGCACCTCAGCCACGCTCAAGGTCCTAAACGATATTATAACCGCGATCGATAATAGACAGTACTGTGCAGCCGTCTTCATCGACGTGGCCAATGCTTTCGTCTCTGTCAACCACCGCATTCTTATTGGCAGACTAAATAGCCTTGGTTTCTCCAATGACTGCCTTGCCTGGTTCACCAACTACTTCTCAGATAGAGTTGTGTCAAATCGGAAGGCCTGTTGTCTGGACCTGTATGCTGGTCCTCACTACACATTCGTTGCCAAACCCACTGGCTCCAGGTCATCTATAAATCACTGCTAGGCAAATCCCTGCCTTATCTTAGCTCATTGGTCACTATAGCAACACCCACCCGTAGTATGCGCTCCAGCAGGTATATCTCAATGGTCATCCCCAAAGCCAACACCTCCTTTGGCTGCCATTCCTTCCAGTTCTCTGCTGCCAATGACTGGAATGAACTGCAAAAATCTCTGAAGCTGGAGACTCTTATTTCCCTCACTAACTTTAAGCATCAGTTGTCAGAACACCTTACCGATCACTGCACCTGTACACATCCCATCTGAAATTAGCCCACCCAACTACCCCTTCCCCATATAGTTTTTTATTTTGCTAATTTGCACCCCAGTATCTCTATTTGCATGTCATCTCTTACACATCTATCATTCCAGTGTTAATACTAAATTGTAATTATTTTGCACTATGGCCTATTTATTGCCTTACCTCCATAACTTGCTACATTTGCACACACTGTATTTATATTTTCTGTTGTATTTTTTACTTTATGTTTTGTTTACCCCATATGTAACTCTGTGTTGTTGTTTTAGTTTTTTGTTTTTTATCGCACTGCTTTGCTTTATATTGGCCAGATAAAGTGGTCAAACAGTGGTAAGCCTGATCACCAATAACGGTGAGGCAGCCTATAGGGAGGAGGTCAGAGACCTGGCCGTGTGGTGCCAGGATTGCAACCTCTCCCTTAACGTGATCAAGACAAAGGAGATGATTGTGGACTACAGGAAAAGGAGGACCGAGCACGCCCCCATTCTCATCGACGGGGCTGTAGTGGAGCAGGTTGAGAGCTTCAAGTTCCTTGGTGTCCACATCACCAACAAACTATCATGGACCAAACACACCAAGACAGTCGTGAAGAGGGCACGACAAAGCCTATTCCCCCTCAGGAGACTGAAAAGATTTGGCATGGGTCCTGACTGGTTGCATCACAGCCTGGTATGGCAACTGCTCGGCCTCTGACTGCAAGGCACTACAGAGGGTAGTGCGTACAGCCCAGTACATCACTGGGGCCAAGCTTCCTGCCATCCAGGACCTCTATACCAGGCGGTGTCAGAGGAAGGCCAAAAAAATTGCCAAAGACTCCAGCCACCTTAGTCATAGACTGTTCTGTGCTACTGCACGGCAAGCGGTACTGGAGTGCCAAGTCTAGGTCCAAGAGGCTTCTTAACAGCTTCTACCCCCAAGACATAAGACTCCTGAGCAGCTCATGAAATGGCTACCCGGAGGCCAGGTCATCTGATGCAGCACTCCATCACTCACTGCTTGGTAAAATAGCCCTTACACAGCCTGGAGGTGTGTTGGGTCATTGTCCTGTTGAAAAACAAATGATAGTCCCACTAAGCCCAAACCAGATGGGATGGCGTATAACTGCAGAATGCTGTGGTAGCCATGTTGGTTAAGTGTGCCTTGAATTCTAAATAAACCACAGACAGTGTCACCAGCAAAGCACCCCCATACCATAACACTTACTTCTCCATGCTTTACGGTGGGAAATACATATGCGGAGATCATCCATTCACCCACATTGCCTCTCACAAAGCCACGGCAGTTGGAATCAAAAATCTCCAATTTGGACTCTAGACCAAAGGACACATTTCCACCAGTCTAATGTCCATTGTTTGTGTTTCTTGGCCCAAGCAAGTCTCTTCTTCTTATTGGTGTCCTTTAGTAGTGGTTTCTTTGCAGCAATTCAACCATGAAGGCCTGCTTCACACAGTCTCCTCTGAACAGTTGATGTTGAGATGTGTCTGTTACTTGAACTCTGTGAAGCATTTATTTGGGCTGCAATTTCTGAGGCTGGTAACTCTAATAAACTTATCCTCTGCAGCAGAGGTAATTCTGGGTCTTCCATTCCTGTGGCGGTCCTCATGAGAGCCAGTTTCATGATAGCGCTTGATGGTTTTTGTGACTGCACTTGAAGAAACTTTCAAAGTTCTTGAAATGTTCGGTATTGACTGACCTTCATGTTTTAAAATAATAATGGACTCTTTGCTTATTTGAGCTGTTCTTGCCACAATATTGACTAGAGTTACCTGTCTAACAGAACACAGAGAGTTTTCTTTACCTTTTCACGCGTGAGTTCAAAATATCTCTAATGATCGCCTTAGCATGAGTTTTGTTATGTGCATGATGTTAGAATGCACTCACTGTTCCAAAATGTGATTGTGACTCAACAGGACATTTAACCCGCACTGCCCTCAAACCAAGGCACGCTGCCTGCTAATTATCTATAGGCTGTGTTTCAACTTCAAATTATTTTCTAACAAGTTTTATTTTCTAACAACAGTTTGAATTGAGGTGTGTTCCGCTTCCACATTAATTCACATAAGAAGTAGCCCATTTCACTGTTGCGGACAATTTATGTTTGAGGCTTTACTGAGCCGGACAAACTTCTCTCTTCAACAAGAGCCCAAGCACTTCCCCAGTTTTCCCCAATATCAAGTATGAAGACATTACGCATCTCTAGTCAGAACAGGCCTTGCACAAACTTTTCCCCCCAGCACATTTCATGGCTGGCGCCCGCATTGCCTTCCTTGTTGTCTTCCTTACAAATTGGACTTTGTACATGTGTGCATTCCTATCAAAGTAAGCGCCTTATTTTCTGTATATCGTGTTGTCATTTCTACTGTAGCATACCATTGTATGTATGGATCAACATGTATTTACTGTTTTATTCACATGTTTTCAAGTACTGCTGACAAATCGTGCATTCTGATTCTTGTATAGATTGTAATGGACAAATATGATGTGTGTAAAATACTTTTTTGAAGCTTGTACTGATTATGAAGAGCTAATGCTAAGCTACTTGCCAGCTATGTGTTGCGCCATGTTTGTTGACATCATACAATGCATTCTGGTTGTCACGTAAGCGTCTGTCAGACCAAAGATGTTATAACAAGGGATAGTTCACTCCACTGACTTATGGTGCTTTCAAGACAACTGGGAACTCTGAAAAATATGAGGTCAAATCATGAGGTCAGTGATCTTCAGGTCGGAAGATCGGAGCTCTAGAAATAGGCCCGAGTTCCCGATTTGGATGACAGTTCAAAATATTTGAATATTTCAGTTGTCTTGAATGCACTGAAGTTGGAAGTCGGAGATTTACGAGTTCCCAGTTGTTTTGAACGCGGCATCAGATTGTAACTAAGGTACCTCAGGGTTGGCAGCTCAGACCCCCCTTTCCAGGGGTTTTATTTTTATTTAGCGTATAAACTTCTCCTGTTTGCCCCCCCATAATTGATAAATCGTCCATCATAGTAATATTTCCTGTATCATATCCCCCCATGAGACCTTCCCCCATTTCTACCCCTGTGGACTTGAAAATCCACCACAAATAAAATGAACCCCTCCACAAACCCCCGTAAAATGGTTTTATCCCTGTTTAGCTTTCGCGCTACGGTTAGGCTAAGCAGTAGGCTTGCATTTGGGGTGATGATATGTTAGGTGTAGGGGTGTAACGATCCATCTACTACATCGATGTATCGATTTATATTCCTATGATCCAACCACATCGATCTGTGCTCGGCGAGTTGGCCTTTTGGACAACATATATCGATCTAACATCGTTTTAAAATGTAATAAATCGATTGTATCGATACTAGGAAATAACCCATTGGATTTAAGCACGTCAGACTTTATATGGATGTTTTTTCTTAGCACTTTTAATGATAAAGGCTTTAAACATTACTCGATTCAGTCTGCCTATCCGTGACGTCATCGCGCCAACAGCAGCGCAAAGGCGCAAAGACAACTAAACATAGCATGGTGGACGAAAGAGGAGAAGCCGACGAGCAAAAAATTATCAAGCCACCATTGCGGTCCTTACAAGAAACAGGAATCTAGGAAACTTCACCTGCACTGTCCAGTATCCAGGTATTTATTTCAGTCACACTGGTTGAATTTTTGGCTAAAAGGTTACTGAATCGATTTCAAGTCACTGAATCGTTTCGGATCGTATCGTTCTAAATGAACCAATATCGTCCTTGAATCGTATCGACAACCACGAATCGTGATACAAATCGAATCGTTGTTAAAACGAATCGTTACACCCCTAGTTAGGTGATAACATTTTATTTGCTTTGTGATTCGTCAAAAACGATAAACGACTTGTCAAGTCGTGCTCTGGTTCTTGTATACGCAAACATGTACATTGAAGATTTGTAATATGCTGAAAAGTGGCCAAACTAAGTTAATATTTTTCAGGCAATGGGCGCAGCTATCTTTGACTTTGTT